TTATGGGAAAGCAGTTTCAGGTCTCACGACTATATGGACCGACCAGGCTAGTTAATCGAGTAGATGGACCGTATACTATGCGTAGTTGACACCACTCTCGAACTAAGTCAAAACGCTCTGCGAGTCCTAATGTCTGCTTTGTCCGAGGCAGTCTCAAGAACATGACTGACAAGGTCCTATGCTCTGACCTGCTGCCGAACTATCGGCTATGTCGACTTCAGCGAAAGGTTAGACAGACGGACTACCTGTTGGTCAAGACGTGAACGAGTGTACTAGTTCGTGGCGTAGGACGGAGCTGTGTAGTGCGACATCTCTGCCGTAAAATAAAACTCACGTTCAGAAATACTACGTTCGTCCAAGAGAAGTCTTCTAAAATATGTCTCCAGTCCAATTTTCCCTTCGAGTCACTCTAAATCTCACGTGTCTCTCAGCTAGTTGTCCTTTCCCCCTGTCTGAGTGAAGAGGAGTCCCTACCAATGACCTGCTGTCACACTCCTTACCTTTACACATGTATCCGCCGACCAGGAAGTCAGGCAGAGGAAGCTACCATGAGTCGGAGTCTTCCACCTCACGAAGACACCCTAATACTCTCCAGCAATAAAGAAAATACTAAACTACGACGTCGAGACTTAGATGAGGAAGTGCGACGACAAGTTCTCTTTGAGTGATGGTATGAAACCAGGGTTGACTTCACTAGTCTTTTGATAATTGAGTCTTATTTGAAATGGTGAAGAAATTCTATGTAGTCCCCATGTTCCTTTTCATAATAAGAGGTCTTTAACACAAGTTTTCCCAAGCTGATGACGTCTTGTAATGATCACCTTCCGTTCTGTGAGGAAAATAATCACTTTTATGACATATATAGAAATAAATATTAAAAGTTAATCCCTTTAATACCAGAGAGCCCACAAATCTCCCCTCCAAGCCTCAACTATAACCTTACTATCTATAACCTATGTACACCACGTCAATTGACCTCTTAGTTGTTATTATTAGACTGTAATTTAATCCGAAGTCACCAAATTGTTTGCTCCCTTGCTACTATTACTATGTGAGTCGACAGCAACACATAATTAACATAAAGTAGGTGGAGAGACGTGTGTCGAACATTTCAAATCTTGTTTCGGAGTTACCAGTAATTTTTTTTCCTTGTTTCTTACATAAAAACACACAAAAAAATTTCATGATGACTTCATGTCAAAGTGAGCAGAGTTGAATCCCTATCATCTGCAATTTGGTTTTACAGGAACTGATAAAGGTATAATGAAGGATAGTGTAAACAGACTGTCGAAAAAGAAGATTCGAAAATAGTTGTAAATTTTGGAGAACCTAGCGACTAGTATCTATTAATTCTAAACGACAATATACAACAATCTTTTCGGGTAGTTGACCATCGAATCGAATCGTATTTATGACCTTTGTCCCTATTGTTTCGATCGGTACAGGTTTACACATTGTTGTGGTGGATAGGTCGTCGAGACTAGGTCAAAACATAATATGGTATGGGTATTAGTCTCCTCATTGTTTGTAGTTATTCGGCAAATTGTCCCCTAATACCCGGCCGATAAAGAACTACCTCGTTTTGTTCAAAGGTTAAAAAAATGTAAAGTCAAAACACTGTCTCTATATAATTCGTGTGGAATTTACACATAAAAACTTAAAACCCTTTTCTCGGTCCGAGTGCATAAAGGGGGAAAAGGATCCGATATACGGAATTTCGATTCGATTAGATTCACAGACTACCGGATGACCAGTGAGGGGCTAAAAGCGACCTCTGAGGCTAAAGTAAAGGTGAGCCTGAAATTTATGCGTGGGATACAAACAACAAGGTACCAATTGTGCAGAGAAATCGTTCCTGCGAACGCGTTAGTTTCACTAGACTCTCCTCAACTCGTCTATAGTGTCTTTGCTTGTTTTCAGACTGTTATGAGATGAGAGACAGTGAGGAGGGACTCTACTTATGTCCCAGGGTCGGTGCTGCTATACGGGTAGTTCCTTGCCACGATGCTGCCGGCGTTACGTCACGTAATTGTTGTATGTGGGGTTATTTCGTACAATTCCAATTAGATTGTCGAAGCCGCCAAGGTGATCGTAGGCCGCTGGGTTGATCGTAGGATAGAACCCCCCTGGTTTCAACAAATATGTTAGTGCACACCCCCAGGGCGGAGGGAATACTCCTGTATTCCCTACCAGGGGATTCCCCTAGTACACTAAAATCCCACTTCGTAACCAATCCTAAAACCCTGGAGGTATCCTCACGTCGCACTCTACGTACGTGCCCGAGAGACCAGTTATAACATAACAATTTTTATTAGGAATCATTTTGGTTATGTCAAGATATTGGACAAACCAGCACATTTTATAAAATTTCTTTTACCTTATTTTCCCTATTCTCTCGTCGTTCGAACGTCGTGTCTCGCATACGACGTCCACAATTTTGAACTGAGGACGGGGGCTCCCCCAGAGGGGGCCTCCACCCCTACTCTACCGTCGTGTGAACCGCTTCGCCCTAGTAATGTGGGGTGCTTCCGTGACAGA